GGCCCACCCCAGTCCCAGACTGCACGCCGGGGGGATCTAGTCACATAGAGTGTTGGGGTTCTTAGGGACTGGCTTGTTTTGGCCTTGTTTTGAGATGGGATTAGCTTGATTTTGGGCTGATTGTGAAAGTCGAGGTGCTTATTTACCACAGGAAAGTTGGCAACTGTGGTATGTGTGTGTGGGAGGGTCACATGGGGTCACATGCCCCCTCCCTCCAGATTTGCTGCTTGGCTTGTTCTGAGCACGCTCCCGTGGACTGAGCATGCTCAGTAACATCTGCTGAAGCTGCTGCCCTCGCTCTGTTCCCCCCACTATGGGCAGGTATGGGTCGTCTCGGGACATCACCTTATACAGAATGTCAGACTTGTGGGCCCAGCCGACTGTGACAAGTCTACAGCAAACCGCTCTGCCGCCCTGCCCCCCAGCAGCAGGCAGCCCCGTTCTGCGACACCATGAGAACCCCAGCAGCTGAGGAAGTAGGACGCAGCAGGGACAGCGCAGGGGTGGACTGATGAGCCGGGGGTGACATCCTGTGGGTGCGAAGGGCTGCTCAGGCTTCTCAGCTAGCAGCGGTGTTTTCACCCGAAGACGGTTTCCTGTGGGCCAGTGTGACCGTGAGGCTGTTTGCAGAGGTGTGACCTGCTGCAGCTCAATTTGCAAACCCTGATGCCCCTGAGGCTAGTTCCAGCAGCCCCCGTTTTGTCTGCAGACCTAACAATGGGGCATTCACACGGCCCAGTTAGGTCGGTATAGCTGCATCACTCAGGGGCGTGGATTCCCCCCCGAGACATGCACCGATCCTGCCATAAGTTTTCAATGCAGACCAGCCCTCCATCTTTCTTGGTCCATGGCTCTCTTCCGGGACCGGCGCGCATTCTCTGCTTCCCTGAATCTCCACTCCGTCCGCTGCAGAATGTATGCCATGCAGTGGGCTCTCAAATACTCCCTGGTCTGCGCTTCTGTCTCATGGATGGATAAGCTCCTAACATAGCAGCAGTGTGGTCCAGTGGGTAGGGCAGCACCAGACGAATTCATTGGACTTAGATTTGTGTCCTAGCTCAGCCGTCTGGGTGACTTTCAGCAAGTCAGTTCACCTCTGTTTCCTCTCCCACCCACTGTCTTGTCTATTTAGTTGCAAGCTCTTCAGGACAGAAGCAGTTCTCAACCTATTTACCATAGTGGGATGCATATGCAGCTGTCTATGTGTTATGTGGGCCACAATCCCATCCATACTATATATATACTACATGTATGGCCCTGAGGCTGTCACATGGGCCACAGCTGTGTGCTGATTGGGCCGTAAGCAACCCGTGGGCCGCAGGTTGAGAACCACTCACAGAAGGTCGCTTAGCATTTGTATGTAGAGCAGCAATGGGACCATGTTGGTGCTACGGTAACGTAATAATAAATCTTGGTGGGAATCTTCCATGCAGCCGCGGGGATTATTCCCTCTTTCCACAATTCCCCAGGTCACAGGGATTTCTCCGACAATCCTGAGCAAAAATGACCCACAATGCAATGGGGGCAAGGATCGGATTGCATGATAAGGACTTACGGCTGGTTGAAAAATGGGCGAAAGCTTCCACGTTCTTGAATCAAGGGTGGTCCTTTTTCTGAAAGCCCGGCTGTAGTTCAAAGAGGAATTAACTCCGGGGAGTCCTATGGCTTGTGTTACATGGTAGCCTGACCATGGGCCAAATCCAGACCACCAGATGCTTTTGAACGGACCCCAAAATCTTTTTGTTTTTTACTTATTTATTATCATTGTTGTTGGGGCATTTTTAAATGATGGGGTCTGGACCTTGACTAGATCGTGACCAAGAAATTGGGATGTGGACAAAAAATAATTGACAACCTCTGGGCCCGATGATCACAGTGGTGCCATTTGACCTTAGAATCAATGGCCCCTGCTTCATTTGGAAAGTTTTTCAATGTTTCATTTATTCACATTTTTGTGTGTGTGGAAATTTTCATCAGAAATTTTTTAGAACTTTTTCATTTTCAATTTTCCCCCCCATTTTTCAGGGGGAGGATGGTGTGGATTTTTTCTTCTTTCCACCCATCCCCCTGATCTTTTTCCTTTTGCCACCGAAAAAAAACAAGAGGAGGGGAAAAAAGGGGATGGGGGAGAGGAAAAATAAGTAACTGAATATTTTGTTCTCCAAAAAAGCCCTCAAAATACATTTATGGGTGAAAAGATCTGGTTTTGAAAAGGCCATTTTTTTCAACCCCAAAATGGTTAACGCTTTCGCTTTTGACACGTCTATAGGGGCCTGTCCTTGTGCGATACATCTATACACCACGGAGGGAAGTATTGTCAAGGATCATTAAACTTTCTAAAAGATACACCCCAATATAAAACTTCGAGAACCACTGAGTTCGAGTGTAACAGGGTGCTGGCCGAAAAGGTTCTGGGCCAGGCCCCTGTTAGCCCAGCTCCAATTAAGGGGTATTAATTGGTACTGGCTGGGTGTGGCTCGCCTAAGGAGTTAAGAAAAAACACCTGCGGTCCTTCTTAGTCAGGAGGCTATATAAAGCTGGCAGGAAGGAAGCAGGGGTGGGACAGGAAAGGGAGGAGCAGCCTGTGGTGGTAGTACTGCCCAACTGGCTGAAGAAGCTAGCTATCTCCCAGGGAGGTGACTGGAATGGACTGTATAGAAACAGTGGTGGGAACTGACACAAGGAATAAAAGGGCACTGGCGCTTGCATATTAAGCGGTCTCCAACTGATTTTTGGGACAAGCAGTGAAGCGCTCCATTCACACAGCAGGCCTCTGAGTGTGACCCCCTTCATAAATTAAAACACTTCTTTTTATAATGCACACTGTTATAACTGCTGGGTTTGGGGTAGAGGCCGACAGCTCGCGACCCCCCCCATGTAATCACCTCGCGACCCCCTGAGGAGGCCCGACCCCCAGTTTGAGACCCCCTGCTCTAACTCAAATAGCTGCTGTGGACTCCACATCTGCACTTCTACTGTTCTCTGGCCTGCGTTACAGGTGTTACAGGTGACCTTTAAATCTATGAAACTATTCATCACTTTTCACAGCCACGTTTGTCAGCTGTTTTGATGCTAGGTTCTAAACCTCACCTAGGTCACTGGGGCATAGCACCACATTCAGAGCAGTGGGTGGGCTGGAAAGGTCTTCTGCAGTGGAAAGAAAAACTTCACTGACGGGGTGGGGAGTGTGTGTGTGTGTGTGTGTGTGACCTTTTTCCCCAGCTTCTAGTCAATGAGCCGGGAGGTTTGAAGGACAGCTGGGGGCACGTGCAGGAGAGTAGTTCTTTGCCAGTCTCTGCTCCCACTTAGGGCTGCTTGAGCAAAGAGTCATGCTAGCTTCACTGGAGCTAGCATGCAAAAACTGGCAGGGTGGCTGGGACGGTGCTAGTGACTTGGGCTCACACCTGAGGGAAGGCAGATGACAGGCCTGGACTGGAGCTGCTCGCTTGAGGCAACATCCATGCTGTTATTTTTAAGGTGCTAGCTGCAGTGAAGGAAGCGCACGCCTAGCCACACATATAATGAAACAACTGCCCCAAGGTCCTTATATACAAGTAATGAAAACCCACCAATTTCCCGCTCCTTGGACCATGCCGTTGAACCGTGCCAGAAAAGTTTGATTTCAACCATTGGGAAATGCTGGTTGTTTTTCCATGGACAACGTTGATGGAAATGATTTTTTTCCCCGCCAGTTTCATCAACATTTTCAGTGGAAACTTCCCACTTCTTCTGCAACCTCCCCACACAGTCCTCTGACCAAAGCCTTTCCTTTTCAGGTGTGTGTGTGGGAGGGCGGGGGGGTTAGCTGGGGGACGAACATTCCAAACTTTCCCAGGAAAGTGGCTGCTTTCTGCCAAAAATGTCATTTGAGTGAAACCCCCAAGAAAAGATTTTGTTAGAAAACTGTCCACCCACCCTCTTTTCGACCTCATTTCCGCCTCTTGAGCTAAGAAAGCTACACAGGCTTTTGACAGCTGACTGCTGTGGGCAGCCCCCTCAAAGACCATTGAGTCTCGAAGCACAGAGAAAAGCAGAGGGACAGGCTCTCGACACACGACTGTCTGCACTGGCTCCAGGCTGGGATTTGCTGCCTGCCTGAGTTAGAATCTCCATCGAATCTGAGCCGAGTCGAGCGCCCAACGCTCAAGAGAGCATCTGGGACAGAAGGTACAAATTATTCAGCCGTTCGCCAAAGCCCAGGCCGTGGTCAGAAGTGGGGATATTTCAATACAGACAATATTTCCTGATAGAAGAGGTGTCGGTCATCTGAGCTCAGACACAAGGACGGTGCTTTCACACCCAGCTCCCTGCCGGTCACCTTTGCTGGCTATGGCGGAGGAGGGAGTAATCTACACTTATCTAACCCACCCGGCAGGCTCCCTGCCCAGCGACTCGTCAGCCCCGGTGCAGCATCACAGTGAGTGCATTTCACTTGGTGGCGGTGTTTCAGGGGGTGGATTTTGGGAGGCTGGGATTCCATTTTTGCGACTGTAATGTTGATAAATAGCAGGTCTAGTGATGCACTAGGGTTCAGATCCCCATCTGGGGTAAGCGAGCACAGCTACATTGACTTCAGTGCATTAACTCCGGATTTACATCAGGGTCACAGAGAGCAGAATTTGGTCCTCACTCCACTGACTTCAGTGGGGCTGCTCTGGATTTACCTCTGGTCACTGAGATCAAAATCCAGCCCTGACACAATTCATTGCAGTGGAGTCACTCTGGATTTGGAACAAGGTCACTGAGATTAGACTGCAGCCCTGACACAATTCATTGCAGTGGAGTCACTCCGGATTTGGAACAGGGTCACTGAGATCTGAATCCAGCCCTGACCCCATTCATTGCAGTGGAGTCACTCTGGATTTGGAACAGGGTCACTGAGATCTGAATCGAGCCCTGACACAATTCATCGCAGTGGCGTCACTCTGGATTTGGAACAGGGTCACTGAGATCTGAAATCAGCCCTGACTCTGTGAAAGAAAATAACCTGAAGACAATCTAATGTCTCTTTCAAATCAGCTTCATCCAAAACGCTAAAATGTGTTCATCCTAATTGTATATGTATCTCATGGCATCACTACAGGACAGATTTAAGTTGTGTGGCTGCCTTAATTGTGAATTTCCAGACCTGGATTCCTTTGCAGGGTAACCTCAACTCTCAATTTTGGGGCAGTGCTTGGTGGTAGGATGATTATAACACCCCTGGAATGCTTTTACTATTAAATTAGGGATAAAATATACACTCCACCTTCGCTCCATCTTCACATAGATTTTTGTCTGGGCATCACTATGCTGGGCCAGATAATCAACAGGTGCAAATCAGCTCTGAAGACTATGGTGGCATTTCAGCTAGGGAGACCAGATGTCCCTATTTTATAGGGACAGTCCTGATTTTGGGGTCTTTTTCTTATATAGGCTCCTATTACCCTCCACCCCCTGTCCCGATTTTTCACACTGGCTGTCTGGTCACTCCAGTTTCAGTTGATTTGCACCAGCTGGGGGTCCGGGTTTAGGTTCCTCTAGCCCATCGTTTCCCAAACTGGGGCTTGTGAACCCCTGGGAGTTCACGAAATGTTACAGGGGGTTCTTGGGGGGAAAAAATCCCTAATGGTGGACAGAGCTGTCCCTAGGGACCCTGGGCAGCACGGGGCCAGCAGTCCGGAGCCCCTGGACTTCCAAGAGCTAAGCAGATCAAAGCAAGCATCTCTATCACTGAGGAGATTTCAACTTCAAGACTCCTTATAAGAAATGGAAAGGGAGGGGGATATGTTTTGCTGTTTTTAAAATTAAATAGGCAGCTATTTAAATTATCATGAAGAACAAGTTTAAGCTTTGTTGTAACGTGTGTTGTTTGCCTGGACTGCTCAAGACCTGAATGCTTGTGTAGGAGGAACTCTTTGAGTTGGTTTCTTAAATACCTTCCTTCTGTTTCACATCTGATACTCCTTGATGAAACCGAAGAGCCTTGTCTTATAACAGGCTTAATCAAAGTGATACAAGCTACGAAAGTGAGATCTTGGAAGACTGTTGCCATTTTCATAATGTCATAAAAATATTGTAAGGATAAATAATAATTATCAATAGTGTGTAATAAGCATGGCGTAAGAACAAATGTTATATTTCCAAGATCACTGCTTTTATAATTTATACTCGGGTAAAGGAGAAAAGCCTGGGAAATTTTCATTTTTAGGAGGGGGTTTGCAAGACTTGACATTTTAGTGAAAGGGGTTTGCGGGTTGTTAAAGGTTGGGAACCACTGACCTAGCCCGTAGGAGAAGGTCAGCGAAATGCTTTGACTCGCTTCTGGACTGGTCTCGGAACTCTTCCAAACCAGCGACAGTCTAAGGGCCAGACTGGCCCTGGTGTAAATCGCGGTAAATCAGGGCTTTGCTGATTCACAGCAGCTGAGCATCTGGCCTGTATGCCTTGATTTATTTATTTATTTCCCCACAATGCTCAGCACCACAAGTGGGACCAAATTTGCAGGGGCTCTCAGCTTTCGGGTGGGCACCCCACGCAGTGGCTAGGCTTCAG